ATATAAAAACATGAGAAGTTAATTAAATTGGTATGAGGGGCGTCTTCATCTAAGAATCTCTCCAACCAACGAAACCCTGTGCGAAAAAATGGAGGCACACATTAATCATGCTTTAAGCACACAAAATGATTGGAAGATGTTTAAACCCAAGAGTCATCTTCAACCCCCGACCCACTCAATCGACCATAATTTAAGATAGTAGTAATATAAATATTGATATATATATATATATCCTTAACATAGTCAGGAGACAAACCTTTCTATCTATGGAAATGAGCTGAATTTATATCGCCATCCAATTGGTTGAAACGCCATTTGACATCATATACTATAATTTATAAGGGAAAAAAAATGGAGGGAGAGATTAACATGAGGAGTATGCTAAGTAGTTAGGTGACAACCTAACCAACGCTGTTTTAAAAGTCAATTAAGAAGTAGTTTATGTCCTCAACTTCCTCCATCTTGTCCAAATCATATGTCACTGATGGAATCCTGTGTCAATGAATGTGTCCCTTCCTACGTTAGCTCTGGCCTTGATTATAATTCTTATCCGTCCTCCGAGCTTGTGCTGTATTCCCCTGTATATTTAATTTCATGGGAAACAACCGCTACATATATATTGTTTTTATTTATAAAAAATTCAAATTTTTTGGCCAGTCTCTTATTTTATCTTCATGAATTAATTATTTTAGTTCTTGATATATTTATGGGGAAATCACAAATAAAGACCCTTGAATTAGCAAAATCACTCTATGGTCACCTGAATATGCTAAATTACTATGAAGGACCTGGTCTCAAATTGTAATTATGAAATCATGGTCAAATTACCAAAATACCCCTCTTTATTTATTTTTTTTTTTTTAAAGAAAGCCACTACCTCACCGGAATCCGGCCACCGGCGCCGGAGCTCCGGCAGCCGCTTCCTGCCACTGTCAGCGGCAGGACGCCGCTTCCGGCGGTCTTCCTTTGTTTTTTTTTTTTTGAAACTGTTTTTTTTTTTTTAAATTGGGGGGAAGTGAGGTTGGGGGGATTTGATCCCCCAACCTAATGCTTCCCAAAATAAGGAATGACCATTGAGCCAACAAATTTTTGTTAACATTATGATGCAAAAAAAAAAAAAGTTAACTAATTTACTATTGTTCCAAGTGATAACAACAATACATTTAGAAATAACAAGTTCTGATTGTAAAATAACACGTCTGGAATAAAAATTTAACAATATGTTTTTTTTATAACAATAAATTTTGTTGCAGGCAATAACAACAATACATTTAAAAATAACAAGTTTGGGATTAAAATTTAACAACACGTTTTTTTTTTATAACAACACACTTTATTTCAAGTGATAACAACAATACATTTAAAAATAACAAGTTCTGATTATAAGATAATAAGTCTGGGATTAAAATTTAACATGATGATTTTTTTTATAACAACACACTTTGTTTCAAGTGATAACAACAATACATTTGGAAATAACAAGTTCTGATTATAAAATAACAAGTCTGGAATTAAAATTCAACAGCACCTTTTTTTTATAACAATTAATTATTTTATACTTTTGGAAAATAAATTATTTATAACTTATAAAAAGTACTTGTAATCTATTTAATTTGCTAAAAAAATAATTTTTATCTCCAATTTATAACCAGAACTTGAAGTATAATTTTTTATAGATTAAAAATACTTTTTTATTGTTCAAATTTATAAATAAAATTTAGGGAAAATGGCAACACACTTTTTTAATTTTTTTTAAAATTTTTAATCTATATATCTATACAACTTATTATAAATCAAACTACTTCTTATAAATTATAAATAGTACAATTTATTGTGGATTAAAAATACTTTTTGATTGCTTAAATTTATAAATGAAATTTATCTCTAATTTATAATTAAAAATACTATTTTATTCTTTAAATATAAAAAATATTTTTAATATTTAAAGAATGAAATAATATAAAATTTATACTATGATTAATAAATCAAAAATGCCTTATTATAAATACTTTATAATTTATAAGAAGTAGTTTGATTTATAATGAGTTGTATAGATATACAGATTAAAAAGTATTTTTTAGAGAAATAAATATATTAAAAATATTTTTATAAGTTATAAATAATTTATTTTTTAAAAGTATAAAATAATTAATTGTTATAAAAAAACGTGTTGTTAAATTTTAATCCTAGACTTATTATCTTATAATCAGAACTTGTTATTTTTAAATGTATTGTTGTTATCACTTGAAACAAAGTGTATTGTTATAAAAAAAACGTGTTATTAAATTTTAATCCCAAACTTGTTATTTTATAATCAGAACTTGTTATTTTTAAATGTATTGTTGTTATTACCTGCAACAAAATTTATTGTTATAAAAAAAACATATTGTTAAATTTTTATTCCAGATATGTTATTTTACAATCAGAACTTGTTATTTCCAAATGTATTGTTGTTATCACCTGGAACAAGAGTAAATGAGTTAACTTATATTTTTTTTTGCATCATAATGTTAACAAAAATTTGTTGGCTCAATGGTCATTCTTTATTTTGGGAAGCATTAGGTTGGGGGATCAAATCCCCCCAACCTCACTTCCCCCCAAAAAAAAAAAAAACAATTTTAAAAAAAAAACAAAGGAAGATCGCCGGAAGCGGCCGCCGGTGCCGGAGCTCCGGTGGCCGGACCCCGGCGTCCGGCCGCCGACAGTGGCCGGAAGCGGCCGTCGGAGCTCCGGCGCCGGTGGTCGGATTCCGGTGAGGCAGTGGCTTTCTTTTAAAAAAAAAAAAAAAATTAAAGAGGGGTATTTTAGTAATTTGGCCATGATTTTATAATTACAATTTGAGACCAGGTCCCTCATAGTAATTTAACATATTCAGGTGACCATAGAGTGATTTTACTAATTCGAGGGTCTTTATTTGTGATTTCCCCTATATTTATTGTGTCACTCCTTAAAATATTATTATATTTATTTACGATGTTTTTGAAAAAATATTTATAATTTTTGTATATTATTTTTTAACTCACGTGATTCAGTCAAATGTTTTTTTTTTTAAACAAAAAACACGTACGGAGTAATTACACGTGAATGCAGTAGAGAGCAGAGAGCACGTGATGCTGATAGCAAGGTTAGTTAACGCCAGATGTTGTAGTCCTCTGTACCAAACATTTTTAAGAGGTGCTTTTACATAAATCGTTTTCTTTTCATACTTACTTTATATATTATAAAATTATTTTTAAAATTATAATTTGATTCTGACCTAAACACTCTTTTAATTTGCATCATAAGTCACTTTTAAATATGTTGTAAATATTATAAAAAAAGTAGTTGAACAGCAGTTCACGTTCTTTATTGTTCCGTAAAAACCAGCACCAAGGGTTTTGAGAACGTCCCTATTTAAATTTGTTAATTTATGATCTAATCTATTATATCCCCCCACTGATTATGGGCTCTGATTCTGAACGTGTTATTGTTACTATCAACTCATGACGCCTCAACATTCTTGCCTTTTTAACATTTTATAATATATATATATATATATAGAGTAGAGTAGGACATGAGATGCTACAAGTAATCAAAAACAGGGGTTTGGCTTGCGGGCTCCACACCGTGTCTTGGTTCACTCCCCTCTTGGGCCCATTGTTCCGCTTAATATTTTAAGCTCGTTGTAAGACTTGGCTTGATCTTTTTTTTTTTTTAAACTTTGAATAGAACGTTCTGAAATATTTAATAAGTTCAAATGATCACACTGTGAATCTGATCATTTTTAGATGAGCACGAAATGCTTCGATTCTTCGAAATTTTAATTCTTTATAAGTTAATTAATTTCACACTCATATTTTCTTGTTCTTTTATATTCTTTTTATTCTCATGTTTCTTCAACGCAAATATTTCTTCCCAGAACAGGCTTGAAAAGGAGTTGAATGTAATAAAAAATTAACTTCGAAAATTGCAAAATCACGTGTTACACGCAAGAAAAGACCTGGGAAATTGAAAACTTACATAGGGCGATCTATTTATAAAAATTATTATCGTATACTTATCAACTGTTTTCAAAACTCATACTAATATTGTAATAGGTTTTTATTTATAATTTTGAGTTAATATAATTTTTAGCTTCTCAAATTTATTTTTATTTTAGTTTTAGACTCTTAAATTTCAAATAATTGGTTTTTGATCCCTCAAGGGACAAAATGATCCAAATTTTTATAGATTATAGGGATTAATATTTTAAATAAAAAAAATTTTGAGGGGCTAAAATTTATGGTTTAAAATTTGAGAGATCAAAATTAAAATGAGAGCAAATTTAAAGGATGAAAATTCAGATTAACGCCATAATTTTTCTATCTCCTGGGTTCTTGTTTGCGATTTTCTGTAAAGACTAATCTTTGCTTGTGGTTACTTAAGCAAGTCAGAGATTTTTTCTTTCGCCTGAGAATGCGGGTGGTTTTCGTGCCTTGGGAGCAAAATATTAAAAAATGAAATATTTGCCTCCCAAAAAACAAAAGTAAAAAAAGGCTGAGAAAATAAAACGAAAAGTTAAGTACGATGTTTTCTTAATTATTAGTATCATTCAGACGTCGTGGGGCCAGGTCCCATGGCTTACGGGTCCTTTCGGGAAATCAGGCGCCCTAGATCCTCGCCTTCGCAAAAAGCTTCACTTGCCATCGATGTAATGTTAATTTGGGTTGAATTTCCAGAGAATTCGATCCAACCATATCCAATGGATCCTATTAAATTATTACAAGGCATGGTTTTGTCGCACTCGCATCAAGAATAACCACGTCAGATGAGAGAGAGTGTTCCTCGCTCCTAAAGTACCTTTTTGCCCCTCATCTTTTCAAGAATTGACGATCGTATCCCTCTCAGGGCCGAACAGGCCTTTACAATTGGCCAATAAAAAGGGCACTAGGTGCTGCGGACGAATAATCAAGTGCGTACCTCTGAGTGCGTCTGAGTATTTTTTTAATGCGTCGCTCATTTTTTTTATCCTATTGGCGACTTTATCAATAAAAAGAATTTGTAGTTTTCTCTTTGTGCTTCGATGAGGACTGGCATAAGAAATGGAGAAAGAAGAATTGGTCGCGACATTTCTCCTTACTAGTTTCTCCTCCAAAATTGCTCGGAATCCTAATATCCACAGTTCGAAGCGCTGTTTTAGCTGCTTCACTCCCCGTTGAGATCTGACGACTTCCCTTGACTCTGGATTTTCCCTTCGTTTTCTCCCAAATTCGAGAGCCGGTAAGATAAGATTCACTTCGATCAAAGCTTGTCTCAGTTTGGATCATTTTAAGTCTTGCTTTTACATCTGTCTTCTGTGTAATGGGGTTTTGATGGAGCAAGGAAACTGTGTGGGTTGGTTTTCTTACTGGGTTCTGGTATTCTTAAAACACTTAAAGAGTCATCAGGAAGTCAGTTTGTTTCTTGTTCTCTCACTTTCTCGGTGCTTTTAAAAGCCACGATTATTTTCTTCTGGAACGTAAATTGTACTTGCCTTTTCTCGTTGCCTTACTGCTTTTTTTTTTTAGGGCCAAACCTTGTTGCCTTACTGCTGCACCCAATTTCTAGTGCAGCACATATTTCGAGGTAGTTTGTGCGAAAACGAGTGCAAAGCATGGTCAAAGTTCGTCGTTAGCCTGATCTCGATTTTTTCTTAGTGAAACTGCTCCATGCAATTTCTTGTCTCATTGACTGCTTGATTTAATTGTCCCTGGGTTGATAACGATTTCTCTCGTTTCAAAGTTTCCAAGCCCAGTGAATTGTTTCCATTACCGGGGACTTTTTTTCTTAGTCTGTTCATATGATGTTTGGTCCCTGGGTATTGCGAATGAGAACAAAGGTAGATGTTTGGTTATCAGAGGAAACTGCTTTTTTTTTTTTTTTTAATCTTTTGCGGTAAATTAGCAATTTTTTCCATAGACCAATTGGAAAAGATAGTTTAATGTCCAATTTTGTGCTCCTACTTGCCTTCTTAATTATTTTTGTGGAGCACCTGAGAATTGCTTGTGGGGGATGGTCGTTCATGCCCATATGTGGCCTCGGTATCTTTCAGTCGAGTGTTTCGTCATTATTCCTTTTGGTTTATATGATAATTCTTTGATATTAATGAATGCTCGTTTAAATTATTTGTTTTTCTCTCCTTTCCCTCAGCTGAATCTCCTGCATATAAGAGCATGTGCTGTGGATTTGAGCAGCTAAAGTACACACTGTCTCCAATCACTGTCTTGTATTTGTTTAGCTCCACGGAACTTAGAAGCTGAAAAATGAATCACTTGACTACTGAGACTGAAGATGCTTTTGTAAGCTTGCTTGAGTTTGCAGCTAATAATGATGTTGAGGGTTTTGAACGACTGATTGAGCGTGATCCATCCTGTGTCCATGAGGCTGGACTATGGTATGGTCGTGGAAAGGGTTCAAAACCTATGGTCAACGAGCAGAGAACCCCTTTGATGGTTGCTGCCACTTATGGTAGCATTGGTGTCGTGAAGCTGATTCTATCACTATCCAATGCTAACATAAATCGTCCCTGTGGCCTTGACAAGAGCACTGCACTTCATTGTGCTGCGTCAGGTGGAGCTGCTAATGCGGTTGATGTTGTAAAATTGCTCTTATCAGCAGGTGCTGATCCAAGTTCCGTGGATGCCAATGGTCACCGTCCAGTTGACGTTATTGTTGTTCCTCCCAAGCTTGATCATGTCAAAAGCAGTCTTGAAGAACTTCTTCGAACTGATGACTCCATAGCAGGGTTTAATCTTAGGGTTAACACAACCACATCAAAAGCTGAATCGCCACCTTTATCAACTTCACCAGAGAATGAGTCTCCATCTTCTGCACTAGATGCCCTCTTGAAGTCAAAGTCAAATGACGCTCCTGTTTTTCATGCACCAGAGAAGAAAGAATATCCTGTTGATCCATCTCTTCCAGACATCAAGAACAGCATATATGCAACTGATGAATTCCGAATGTATTCTTTCAAGGTTCGGCCTTGTTCACGTGCTTATTCCCATGATTGGACTGAATGTCCTTTTGTCCATCCGGGAGAAAATGCCCGGAGAAGGGACCCAAGGAAGTTCCACTATAGCTGTGTTCCTTGTCCTGAATTTCGGAAGGGGGCTTGCCGACGTGGCGATATGTGTGAGTATGCACATGGAGTTTTTGAGTGTTGGCTACATCCAGCCCAATATCGAACCCGCCTCTGCAAGGATGGAACAAATTGCAATAGAAGAGTTTGTTTCTTTGCCCATACTGCTGAGGAGCTTCGGTCTCTACATGTTTCAACTGGTTCTGCTGTTCCCTCTCCTCGTTCAAGCACACCTGCCATGGATTTTGCTGCAGCTATGAGCCTGTTGCCTGGCTCCCCTTCCTCTATGTCTGTCATTTCCCCTTCACCATTCACTTCGCCCATGTCTCCTTCTGCCAATGGCATGCCATACTCTTCAGCTGCTTGGTCACAAGCCAATGTCCCATCTTTGCACTTGCCTGGAAGTAATCTTCATTGCAGTCATTTGAGATCCTCGCATAATGCTAGAGATATTCCTGTGGAAGACTTGGATTTGTTGTCAGAATATGAGGTTCAGCAACAACAGCTCCTTAATGAGTTGTCTTGCCTTCCTCAACAACCAATGAATTCTAATAGCATGAATCAGCCAGTTCGTATGAAGACCTTGACCCATTCAAATCTCGATGATCTATTTTCTGCTGAGAACTCTTCCCCTCGATTTGCTGATCCAGCAATGGCCTCAAGTGTTTACTCCCCAACCCACAAATCTGCTGTTCTTAATCAATTTCAGCAGCAGCAAAGCTTGCTATCACCTGTCAATACAAAATTTCCTTCCAAGAATGCTGACCATCCTTTATTGCAGACTTCTTTTGCCGTTCAGTCGTCAGGAAGGATGTCACCACGCAAAGTGGAACCTATTTCACCGATGAGCTCCAGAATTTCTATGCTAGCTCAACGTGAGAAGCTGCAACAATTCCGTAGCCTTAGCTCTCGGGAACTTGGCTCCAGCTCTGCGGCTGCTGTTGCTGGTTCCTCAATCAATTCTTGGTCCAACTGGGGTTCCCCGAACGGTAAGTTGGATTGGGCCGTCAGCACCGATGACATGGGTAAATTCCATAGATCTTCTTCATTTGAGCTTGGGCACAATGGCGAGGAACCTGACCTATCATGGGTACAGTCTTTAGTCAAAGAACCTCCAGGTGAGATTAAAGAGCCGGCCGCTAGTGTCCCAGGCATGGCAGTGGCCGGAACCTCGGCCGACGGATCAAATGTTAGTGCGCAAATCGAACCTGTGGATCATGCGGTATTGGGGGCATGGCTTGAACAAATGCAGCTTGATCATCTTGTGGCTCAGCAAAACTGAAATGACTTTTCCTGACCCAGAGGTAGATGACCGAAAATTTTCAGTAAATAGTACTATATTTCTTCTTTTTGAAATTTTGTTGGTGTTGGAAGAAGATAAACAATAACTGTGGAAGTAAGCAGGAATAATAGAAGTTCCCGAGGAAATTCATTTTCCAAATTTGTTGCTACAGAGTTAAAGTAGAAGACTCAACCACCGGGAGGCATTCAGACAAGATTAATGATCTCCATGTTACGATTTTTTGGCTGCGGATCTTTTCAAAAGAAGCTCATCTCCCTGTCATTTTTTTCCTTCATTGATCAGCAACGTTATATTAAATTAAATCGAAGTCCTATTCCTAAACCCTGAGTTTGGTCCGTATTTTTCTTTATTCCCAAGTATTCTGGGGGCAGGAAACATAATTAGTGGGGTCCTAGAGGGTAAGCTCTGAGACTCCGTACTGGTCCAGTTTTGGGGAAGAAAATACAGCATGCTGGTTATGGTAATTCTCATTTTGTGTGGGATCAATTTTTGTGGATTATTGGGAAGTGTGTAAATTAGGGATGTTGAAGGACCGAACCTTTAGTCACGTAAACATTCAATTAAAGTTTATTGATATATTATTCTAATACTCTAGTTCTTTATTCCTATTATCACTTTGGTATAACTTTTGCTTTAGTAGGACTGGGCGGTGCATGGCATAAGCACATGTGCCATTACGGAGTTGGCAGCGGGGAATGTGAATGGATCGTAACGCTCTGTAGTGTATATAATTTATTCCGCTCGAATAGGATTTATCTGACTCCTTCCATATTTAACGTATTTATTCGGAATGAGTTTTATTTGCTGACACAAAATTCGAAATGGCTCATGCTGTTTATGGAACGTCAAATTTAAGTATAATTAAGGTATTTTTACTAATAATATGTATTAGTTATAATTATTATTTGGTAAAGTTTTTAATACGTACAATTTCTGTAAGAATTATTTTAAAAAAATAGATAAAGATGATAGGTAAAATAAATTAGAATATTATATTTAAAATTAAATTAAATATCAAATAAGTTTTTATATTAAAAATCAGAATAGTATGATTTACTATGTATTGGTAAAAATAACTTAGGGAGTGTTTGGATAGAAACTAAACCATGGTTTCAGAAGTGCTTTTACGGATTACGAAGTAAATATGTGGAGGAGGTTACCTCATTTTGCAGAAAAGTACTTCTGAAACCACGGTTTTGGAGCACTCAAACAGGCCCTTACTCAAAAAAATGATTCGCTGTATGTCGTGTGGACTTGTGACGGTGGAATTTCCCCATTGAGCTCCAAACATGTCAACTCACCCTTTTGACCCAAAAAAAACGCGTCAACTCACTCTCGGAAGCCAATGTAGCAGCAACCACTTGGCATAATTATGTACTCCTCCGGTCCTTATTATAAGACCTAATTTGACTTTTTATTTGGTCCTAATTATAAGACCCAATCCATTTTGTCTCTTATATTTATGTATTTTTTTCCAAGATAATCCTTCTAATAATGATAGTTTTAGCCAATATACTTAATTAGCAAGGATATTTTAGAAATGACAACATTTATTTATTATAAATAACCAACTTAACTTACTTCCTTAATCTCCTCAAATAAATCAATTGGATCTTATAATTAGGACCGGAGGAGTACATATTTTATGTTATCGCAAATGTTTAAATATAGAGCACAGGTTCTTGTAGATGGACGGCTCGGGGAAAGGCGAAAAAGGAAGGTGAGAACTGAGAAGACTAACTAAAAAGCTTGGGAAGAAAAGCAGCGAGGGAAAAAAATTGCCAGCTTTGAGTGATGCTTGCAAATATTATGTGGTTCCTATCACGAACTCTGGCACTTCAAGACAACTCAATGTGACCTGCCGCTGTATACGTCTTGTTTTGTTCTCGATGTGACCCTGAAATCACCATCAATGGTAAAGCTGGGGGCATTTTCCCTGAATCCTACTATCCCACGTGAATTTACTTGAATAGCCTCACAACAAGGACATCCCTTTTCCCACTTCACATCTCATTTTCTTGATTGTTCCCGTTCTTGCCTTGCTTTTGCAGAAGGTATAGGAAAGTAAGAATAATGGATAGTTCAATAGCCTTGGATCTCTTTCAACGAATATTTTTATTCTCCTTTTATGTCTCTTGATAGAAACAAGACATTACCCGTTATTCTCTAATGTAACAGAAAAATAACTATGCATAGCAAAAAAAAAAAAAATCTTTTCTACTATAAGTTTGGAGCCTGTTATTATTTTAGCAACGGTCTGAATACGATTTTGCTACCATATCACCGATAATTTTGAGCTTATCCCTGGGATATCTAATTGCTTATTATCTGGATTCAATAAAATTTTTGGCCCAAAAAAAAAATCAAGGTTAGATGATGCGATCTTAAACATTGTTGCCCCCTTCGGCACCAAATGAAGATACCGAGATTAAAACTTGACAGCCAATAACTAAACCAAAATCTTACCTTCCTAAGCTGTTAATGGCTTTACTTCTTTTACAAGGCCGTAAAAACATACCATTTTTCCCTTTGACAAGATATGAGGAACAATACGGGGGCAAAAGTGATTTGAATCTATACATTTTTTTTTGGGCATGAGAATCTATTCAAGTCCTTGATGGTGGGCCTATTTACTCCAAAATTTCTATGATGGTTAAACAAGTTCACAAAACCGAGCCAGTAGTGCAGAATTTTCTTTGAGGAACCTCCAAGGGCCGGTTAGAGAACCTAGCCTGCAATATAACACCCATTAATGGAGTCCATCCTTTTAGTCCTCCGTTATAGTTTTATTTCACTTAGAAAAGTGATAAGGTGATTTCTTCAGATTTTGTAACACCAAAACACTCTATTTGCAGAAGAAGTTACCCCCCAAAATCCAGCGAATGTACGTTAACTAATATAAATGGACAAAGCGATCCATATACCAGCAAAGCCATGGCTTGAGGATCACGTGAATAAGCAAAATATGCTCACTATTGCCACCATATTCTCGGAGAAATAGGAAACTTATTAGCCATAACACAGACAGATATGCACAGAAAAGGAGAAATGATGAATGTGTTTCAGCAGTTCGGGAAATGCATGTTAAAACTTTCATAAATGTTGCCTTTTCCTCCTAATTTTTGAACCGAAGAAATGTTAAAGATTGTCGCTGTCATTCACTAAGAAAGGATCTTCCACACATACCAAGGAGCAAGCGCAGCATGTAAAATCTGAAGCGCCATAGTCAATGCCATCAAAAACAAACGCCAGAGTATTAATGGGCTTAGTCACCGCAACATACTACTCAGCCAGAACAGAAACGTGAAAATCAGTTGCTGTATTTTGCTCAAGAATACACAAGCATATGATATTATTCTTATTTTATAACCATTGTAATATTAGCGGGATGCCAACTCTTATACGTTGCAAAACATGGATGTCGTCTGTAAATAATTTAGAAGCAAAAGGCAGGAGATTGAACAAGGAAGGAGAGCACTGGCCAAAGAATTAAACCCAGACGCACGGTTAAACAAGAAACAGTGAACTAAGCTTGAATACCCAGGGAAAATATGCCAAGGGTCATAATAAGATGAAGTATCTGCAACACAGATGATGCAGCTGCCATGACCTTCTTGTAACTTGCAAATGCACTAGCAACAATGGCCTGAAAATAGTCTGTCGTTAGGATTTGAATTCTCAATGGGCAAGCTTTTGAATAGATGGATTCATACAGAATGAACACAAATGCGAGGATGAAATATGGTACATCCACCACATCCTTAAAAGTTGTCATAGTGTTCTTTGCCACACTCAACCATCTCAGGTTCTTGGCCATACATGTACTTAAAAGCAGTGGATTCCACATAGTATCTTTTTTATCTTTAAGAAAGGAGAAGGCCAGATGGTTAAAGTTTATATTTAATTGTGTTCTGAATCTTCAGGCAAAAAAAAAAAAAAAAAGGTGTTCTGAATCTCAGTCTCACTTCTTAGATTGTAGTACAATATGTACAATAATTTTTTTTGTGTGGAAAAAAACAGTGACAAAGGATGAGATGAATGAATAATCTATTTTGATTGTCATGATTATGTTGTTCCCGTTCCAAAGCATAGCTGTTGACAGTACTAATCTTGACGATCACCAATAATCTCCACAAGTGCATTTTCCATCTTCAAATCTGTGGAACCGGTTGTTATCCCTCACAATGATGACCGTTCCAGTGCATTTGCTTATAAACTTGATTGCAGTGTGGCAATCACCACAAACACGCAAATTCTTCATTACTCTGATGGGTCGTTCAGGAGGGAAAATTATAAGGCCAAATGCTATGGCTAACCTTTCGCTGTGATACCTAATTGTTTGATTCTTCTCTTCACCATCCACTTCTTTCAACACAAAAGATGTGTCTGCTACATAACCAGCTTTCTCCATCTCTTCTCCTAATTCCTCCAATTTCTTATATATTTCTATGGTTCTCACATGAGATCTATCCCCAGCAGCAAATGTGTGAACTCTGTTTCCCTCCTCCACCCAGCTCAAACCAGTTTCCTTCTTTATTCCATGGTCCCTCAACATCTTCCTTGCTCTTGCTGCTTCTTCCCATCTTCCAGCAGCAGCATAAGCATTAGATAAGAGGACATGAAGACCTGCGCTTACAGGACCTAACTCAATAACTCTATCAGCAACATATGATGCCAATTCACTGTTCCCGTGTATTCTACAACCTGTCAATAATGCTCCCCAAACACTTTCTGTTGGTTCCATGGGCATTTCTTGAACTATCTGAACTGCCTCCTTCAGTTTTCCAGCACGACCTAGCAAATCTACCATGGAGGCATAATGTTGGGCCCCTGGTTTAATACCATAGTCTTTCATGAGCTGAAAGTAATATTGGCCTTTCTCTACTAATCCTCCATGGCTGCAAGCATAAAGTATGCATAAGAAGGTGATGAAATTGGGCTTCATCCCAACACTTCCCATCTGTTTGACACAGCTCAAACGTTTTGCTTGTGTGCGCATGTTGAGCACACGCTATGAGCATTGCATTCCACATACCAAGGTTTTTAATGATTATCTCATCAAAAACTTGATAAGCTCCTTCAACTACACCGCACTTGGAGTACAGCGATATCAAAGAACTGCCCACGAAGCTTGATGAATTAAAACTTGTCTTAAAGCATAGTCCATGATTTGCTTCCCCAATTCAAGCAAAGTTGAGCTGCCACAAAACCGTAACACACATGACAATGTAAAATCATTGACATCCACATCTTCCAGTAATGCTTGCCTGAACAGTCTGAGAGCTTCATCATCTTCACACATTTGAGTGTAGCCATATATCATCCCGCTCCAAGAAACCACATTCTTTTCAGGCATTTCATCGAACATTTGCCGAGCAAGTCTTATCTCTCCACACTTGGCATACATATCAACGATTGAACTCCCAACGAACAAATCAAATTCATACCCAGTCTTCACGACAAGGCAGTGCACAGACTGCCCAACATCACACCTTGATAAAAATGCACACGACTTAGTTGCACTGGGGAATATATGGTCGTCAGGCCGAACCCCACTGTGAAGCATTCGACGAAAGAATTCAAGAGCAAGTAAA